GATAGAGGTAGTAGATGTTCGACGCCTGGTACCAAGCTAGGGGTTTTATAATTCGGTCCAAGGAAATTCACATGGATCATAAAATTTCCGGCGTTCAAATTGAGAGGAGAACGTGGCATGTGTAGTTCCAGTTGAATATCGTATTCTTGACGTGTTACAAGGGAATTATCGAGGGGTACAATGCCATGTGGATGCTGGCCTGGTCTGCGGTTGTTCCTGTGTTAGTAGTTATTTGTTCATTACATCCACAGCGATGCCACCCACAGTGGCTTCTCAAACGGAATGATATACGCACGCAAATTGTAGCCAAACCCTCCTTTCCACCCCAAGGGCTGGCACCCAGCTCCAATAAAAGCCCGCATAAGCTACCACAGCAAACCCAAACAGCACAAGTGATGTCGAAACAAATAATATAGTATTGAGGTATGTTTTGCGCGCTGGCTTCGAGGTCGCGATCGCAATCGGCTTACGAATCATGGTATCCTATTCTCAGATGTATGGTTAGCAATCTGAAAATGATGAATGTAATAAGTTTGTCGGAAGGAAACTGGTGCGCGATGATGAGATTGGGAATAATTACCATTATTATGGGTGAACTTGATATTGCATTACATTATTTGTGATAAGAACCAATGTGAGAACATGGAAGTCTTTCAAGTGCAGCTTGACGCGAATGCGCGTTCCGCTGTGAGGTTGGTGGGCGATGTTTATAAGACAACGCTTGTGTGAGATAATGACGTCGGCTCCAAGCAACCCCTGCACTTAGCTTGTGATTAACTCCCGGTGAGCTCAGTGCCTGGTGGTAATCTTGTGAATTCGATTGCAATTATCATCTTACCTGAGCTACGTCGAAAACTCACAAAATCAATAAAAACTTGCCAAACTGGACCTTTAATAATGATAAAGTATTAGAGTACATACACGACCTGATATGATTTTCCGCCTTGAATAGCCTCATTGCTGTCGCAAACAATCAAGCTCACAAATCTTCATCTGCGCCATACAATACAACTCGACCAAACGCAAAATCACCGGGCACAATGGCGTCCCAAGCCGACATGCAAGATCTCCTCCGTCTTCTCACAACCGGCCGTAATAAAGTCCCAATGCTTACAGCAATGCAACGGGTTAAAGCTTTACAAATCGCATCCATAAACCCCTCCATTTCAGCTGTAGCATCCACGCCGCTTGATACACTCCAGTCCGCGCTTTCTCTTGATGAGAAAGCCGCAAAGTCTCTAATTACAGCGTGTAAGAATGCCAGTAAAACGGCAGGCAAACGATCCGCAAGCGAGACCGGTGCCACAAGTCAAGGAGCGGCGAAACGCGTTAAAACATTCGAATCGGCGTATTCTTTGCCAGTCGAACAAACGGAGGAGGAATTGGAGAAGAGTCTGGAGCTACCAGAGAGTGTGAAGGACGAGGAAAAGATTGAGAAGACGACTATCTATACGAATAGAGCACCGCTAGTATTGGCGTGGACATTGCAATTATTGAAGTATACGATGCCGGGGCAGGGATTAAGTGGGAGATTGAGTTTGGCGCAGGCGCTGGTTAGTGTGAACAGCAAGAGTAAAGCAGAGAGCCTAGGTCTGAAAGGGAAAGGGAAGGATGAGGATGAAGGAAAAGGATGGCCAAAGGTAAAGATAATGGGGAGGGAGATCGGCGTGTTGAAGAGAGCAGGCTATGATGGGCCGGAGGAAATCAAAGGAGAGATTGGAGTTAAGCAGGAAGAAGACAATATTGCGGTTAAAAGCGATTTGAATGAAGAATGGGCCATTTCCACACCCATAACATCTAAGGGTTCAACGTTCATTGCTCGCTCATTATCTGTATCTTCACCCAGCCAAGCTCGCACACATCTTCAAACCTTCCTTAAGGATACCTCCATTTCGGATGCAAGCCATAATATGACAGCCTTCCGTGTTCAAGGTGAACATGGAATTATTGAAGACTGCAAAGATGATGGTGAATCAGGTGGCGGCAAACATATTCTGGGAGTGCTCCAAAATAATAATATAGTTGGGGTTCTGCTTGTTGTGTCGAGGTGGTATGGAGGTGTTATGTTAGGACCTGACCGCTGGCAGATTATGTCACAAGTTTCTAATGATGCATTGTCACAACGCTTAAGAGTCGCGGGAAACATCAGAGGAGGAGAGCAATTGTGGGGATTAGACATTGAAGCTATTAGTTCGTCGGGTGGAGGAAGTATACCTATTCATAGGCCAGAGGGGGCGAGAAAATATATCCTGAATGCCTTTGCTTCGCCTCCCGTCGATGAAAATGAGGAGAAAGGGAAGGTTAAAAAGAAGAAAACTGCGAAAGCGTTAGCTGAAGAAAAAGAAGGCAATCTAGGATTGCTGATGGGAGCACTAGATTTGTTATTTGAGAGTTGGGTAGAGCATATTGGAAAGGAGGAGTTAGATAGAAGGGCTTGGGGATGGTATGTGAATGTTAGACCAGAGGTGGAGAGTGGTGTTGCAGGGTGGGGTGGAAAGGGGTTTGTAAAGTTGAGTGAGATATTGGCATTGAGGAGGAACCCGTGAGATGGGTAAACTAGTGAGTAGATTCCTCATGCTTTGGTTGGTACTACGTAAGAAGGATATATATGAATAGTGACGTGAACAAACTTGTTAATGACAACACTTCGCTTGCTCTAGCTCAGCTAATTCTGCAACCAAAAGCCTGTGTACTCTATCCTAGTGCCTTTACCTATCTGATTCGACACGGGAAAGAGTTCTTTCTTCTGGACTGAGCTTACAATCCACTGGGTCGCACGATAGCGTAATGGTTAAGTGTTCTATCATCTATGGCAGAATGCAAATCGAAAGCACCGACTATCATACATTTACACTGTGGTGACTGTTCACTAAGAGCTCTAGTCTGAAATTATGTAGCTCTTTCATGGAATGATGGATCATCACCGTGCTCCCGCTATCAACATGAAGCATATCTAATATCTCTGAGATGGCCTTCAACAATGGCCGTGGCACAACAGAGGCCAGCTCATACCTAATAATAACTTCATCTCGCTTCGTTATTATTTCGAGAGGCTGAGCGGTATTGGCATAACTACCAGATATGGGAGCCTGGATTGGTCGCAAAGGGGTGCCAGATTAATCTCGGCCAGGTCATGAGCCTACATCTTCCTTCTGCACTGTTTCGATATCGAGATGTGGCAAAGTAGATAACCAATATTCTGTACCGTATAGCTTCGAGGTATTTAGGCAGCGGCCTCAGCTCGTGAAAGCGCCTCTCAATACAGATACATCAATCAATTTTTGACATTGACCTGCGTGGGAAAAGTATTCGTTGTTGGCACGGAGTCTTCTGAATCTAGAGGTGCCCGTTCAATCTCAGTAAGCTTGTACGCTGCACCTGTGTACATTCATCGAGTAAATTTATCATTTTAGTTTCGTTCTGGGAAGAAGACGCTGTGAATATATTGAAATTTGAAACGCGAATTTCTGTCCCCTTCTCAACTCCAACAGCGCGGTGGTCTTTATCCTAGTGGCTTTTCAATCACCATAGTTGTAGTTGTATTCTTTCTTCAAATCTGAGTAGCTGTCATTACCTACCACGAGTCATTGTTTCCGCAATATTGAGTCAATTGATCTGATAAAAATCCAATCATAATAGAATCATTGTTACCAATGCCTGTCGCTGTCGTCAGTCATCATTTTTCCCGAGATATTAAATGAATCAATTTGATAGATTTTCGAATCATAATGATATGAATCAATGCCCTGATAACTACTACTTAAACCTCAGCTGTCCTCGAATCCCTCGCACTTCCTTCTGTAGACGTCCTCGCATTCACATGGAAAACAGCGAAACGTCCTCGAATCCAGCACTGTTTCTCAACACACCAATACATACATCTCCGTCGACAAGATCTCATACCAATCTATCCCATGCAAAATCAATACATATAAGTTCAGTGCCCTAAAACACACCGAGCGATGTTGTGTTTACTAAGTGTTAACACAATCTATAGATCATGCCCTCCAAGGTTTACGAATTTCCTACTTCTCCTGCTTCTCCTACTTCTCCTCTCTCCAACAGCTCCAAAACCATAAAACCAGAATTCCACAAAGGGCAAACAGTGCACTGAACACCAATCGGACACCCAGATATGACAATGATAATACACACAGAGGGATTCCCATGCAAAGCGAAAATGAAACATCTCGGACAATTCAAACATGTTCACTATCAGTACAATTTGAGGCATCCGAACACTGGCGAGATCCAAAACGTTGATTGGCGAGCCTTGGCTAAGCGCAGTAGACGTCAGCGAAGATTGTGGTAGAGCTAGTGCGCAAAATCCTAGTGTTAGTTGTGGAGAAACAAACCTTTCAGTTTTGTTGGAATAATCCTATATAATGAATGAAGAAGAATTGTTTTGGTGGTACTGACTTCACCTTCACCCATCCTCACAAAAACCAAATTGAATCAATCTGAGACTGTAATGAGTATAAAACAGAAAGCGGGTGACGTTTTGTGATTTTAGGTATCTCATATTCTTCGATTTCCGGAATCGCTATGTGAGGAGGATCAAGCAGCCCATCTCATACATCTCAAGCGAACTCGTTAATAGGTAGTGTGTGAGCAAGGGATGATTGAATGACCTTAAGTCATTCGTAGCCTACTACAAAGGAGCTAGTTCTACAGCAAGGCCTATTTAAGGATTGCTTCTTCCTGTAATTATCTAGCTCCTTAAGTTGAATACACATTGACAACTAGAGCCTACATCGTAGGTCCTATGTCATACGTACTCTTCTCAAACCAACAGGTAGTATTAAACAGAAAAAGTATCTTTACTTACACACTCTTTTATTAGTTAGTACAACAAACTTTGTAGTACAGTTAACAAAAGTTATTTGCAATTGAATATCTTTGAGACCTGAATTTGACCCGATTGACGATGCAATTCGGATTCTAGATGGTTTCAAGACACAGTGACATAATCGAAAGCCTCCTCCATTCCAGCGCAATCACCCAACCACATGACCCAACACCCCCGTAAGCGGATCATACCCCCCAAAAGCAATCCCCACCGTCTGCGCCGTCACCTCCAAGCCCTCAGGCAACACCTCCTCATTAGCCAACATCAACCTCTCGATCATCACCGCCAAACTCGCCAAATTCGTTTGCACACTCCCTCTTCTCCACCCTTCTCGATACGGCAACCGTTCCTCCTCAAAGAAAACCCTCACCCACTCTACATCCGCGATCCCCTCCACCGGATCCCCTAGCGTACTCAAATACAACGCCGTCTCTCCATAGCTCAATACAAAATGCTGAGCCGAGTATGAAAAATGTGGATCATGCTCTTCTTCATATTTCACACGTGCGTATTTGGCGGCTGCGGCGACGGGGATGGATGTTTGGGGGGAAGTGAAGAATGAGAGAAATTGGTTGAAGATTGTTTGGTTGAATGAATAGTCATCGTGGTTTGGAGAGGAGTAGTAGTCGGCGCCTGGAAAGCGATCCGTCGTGTTCGATGGGAAAATTGTGCTCGTTTAGATCATCGAGGTTGAAAGATGTAGCGAAGAGATTGCCTTGAACTGACAGTAGACCGGCGGTGCCAATGGCTGTGGCAAAATCGACACCCACGCTAGATTAGGGATTAGACTTACAGTGATCAATCAATGTATAGTACAGTTGGGTGATAATAGACAAGGCTTGATGTGACAAAGAGAAATCATACTTCAAAGCAGCATCTAACGCGGTGATAACATCAGGGACCGTGATCCCTTTTCCATCATGTGGGAGAAATCCATGGTTGGCGAGGGAGTTCATCGCAGGACATGGAGAACGAACATCACCTGGACCAGGTGGTGACCAATTCGTGAAGCTCCCTTGAGCATTTGCAAGAAAAACTGGCAACGCTGCTGCCAAGAAGATTATTTTACCAAACATTAGGTCTGAAGGGCGTGAACTAATACTAGAAAAGAACAAATATGAACACGGAAATAAGAATAGGGAAATGTATGGGTATCAATGTCATGTAAGTTATGTAAAAACACCCTTCATCAGCTCCTTGACGTCTACCTGACAAGTTTATCATTCCCCTTTCTTTCCTAGCACGTCAAGCAGATATATATCATGTTTGTGAATATCTGGGAGCTCGGCCATGCTTGCGGAGTCCCCAATTTCCCGCTGTGGGGCAGCTCTGAACTTGAGCCTAATTAGCCACAATCAACTTTCATCAAACCAGAAACAGTGAGTTTCAATCAAAAAATGAGAAGATCTTTGCCAACTGCAGCGAGGGTTTCTCCACAATGTAATTCTAAGAAGAGCTAAGGACGGCAGTTGTGACCACATCGTCATAGTAATAAAAAATAAATCCACCCATTAAAGATTGTCAGTAATTAATCTCGTAGGTATAAAGGAGAACGATCATCACAAACGAACGTGATTATTTCCAGAAAAATATATTGAACTCCATTTATGATACATAAAAGTTTGCCGCCTTCCCACGTAACAGCAAGCAAGCCAAACCATTCCCACGCCATATGTCTGTTTTTCCCCACGCCACCAGATTTTCTGCCCACCTTAAAATTCTGTCATACAGAAGGTAGGCAAGGAAACATTAATCATGTAAGATGCATTAAATAAAAGTTTTTGTCGTTCCCTGTTCCCACCATAAGTATAGCAGATCTTGCAAAAATCCCAATTCCTTTCACTCGCTATGCAGTAGACAAACCGGAAAGATCTGTAACATGGAACGCCGAATGTGACCTAAGAGGTTATGTAACAATGAGACAGATCTTGAAAATTTCAATCACTGGTGCGACATATCTATATGTTTGTGCCAGAATCAAATTATCCAGATCTGGTTGATGGTGTTTAACTTTATCTTGAGAGAGAACGCTGCACGATAACAGCAATCCGCTCAGCGACCTAGTAAAAATACTGTCAGTCATTTGAGCAAAGTGAGAGGACCACGGATCTTACCTCTGGTGTCGACTTGATATATGGCAAGTCAAAGAATTTGTACTTGTTCTCGTTCTTGGCGAGTTCGATGACCATGTTAAGCACGCCCCATGGGATCGGTAGGGACACAAATGCTCTTTCTAACAAAACGCGAAGAATTTGTTGACTGATATCCGACTCCTCTTGATCATTGACGTCATTTCCGAATAGTTCCAGGAGTGCTTGCACAAAGTAATTTGTGTGGGCGTTAGGGAAACGAAGTTGGTTGACCATGCTGGTCAGAAGATAATGTCGAGCTTCTGGATTGAGTTCGTGAACAAGCATCGAGAGCAAAGCAGCATCAGTAGAACCGCGAGCAAAACTATTAAGCTCTCCCTTTTGACTTGCTCTCGTCACAGCGTACATACAGATGTGTAAAACAATAGACTCAATCAGCTGCAAGTCAACATTGACAGGCACGAATCCTGGACCGCTCACTTCGGTTTGCTTGCGTTGTATAGTATGAGTGATGTGAGCCACTGCATCCTCCGAAGGACCACTTTGTAAGGCTTGTTCGAGAATCTCATACAGACCTGTTGATTGTAAGGTTCCCTCGATATCAAGGCTGGCGATCTCTGGTGATATGCGGATCTCTTCAATACGTTCAATTTTCAACCCTGGCTGCAATGGATCTGGCAACTGAGTCTTTGTTGGATGAGCGTTGAGAATGAGATTCAACAATTGAACACAATGACTTGGCACGTTGGCACATAACTTCGACGAGTATGCAACTACGAAGTCAGGATAATCATGCTGTAACACAAGAAAGAATTTGAGAACTCCTTGATAAATATCCCTTGCCGCCAATGTCAACTGTAATGGCTTCAGTAGCTCGCCTGTATAGGACAGTAAACATTCCACAAGTTTTGCAAATGGTTGCCACCCCATATCATCAGGAAGTCCCATCAATGGTACAAGGAAGAAGCGATGAGAGATCAAGGTCATCCAACCGTATACAAAGCCTGGGAAGTAAGCTGGTTGAAGTTTGATGAGCTTTTCAGCGAATGTCAGAATGATTTGGTGGTTCTCCATTTCAGACAAATCAGTCGAGAAAGTGTTCAAATGACAAAGCATGGAAGAAAGAAGTCGTGTAAAGACCTTTTGATTGAAACCCTCGCCACGCATGACATGATGATGATTTAAAACCAATGTTATGACTGATAGAACTGATTCCAAGAACGCGGCTTTATCACCCTTCACTTCGCCTTCGCGTTCGTAGCCCCTAACCAGTAGAGATATAAGCTTTGCCAATGCATCGACAGGGACGTAGGCATCATTAAGGAAGCCATGTATTTGAATCTGTTGTTCGAAACGTTCGACTGATGTATCAATCGAAAGGCGTAAGAAAAGGCAAAGGTCTTCCTTATCGTTGATAAGCTGCCTGTTATACATGTGAGATATGAATACCAGCGCTGCCCTCTCCGGGGCAATGGGGTTGCTGAACAAGTGAATCCACTCCTCGAAAACATATTCCATTTGATCTTGACGAAAGGCAAGTCGATCATTTTGACTGCGACCGACGCTTTTTGGAAGGGCAGAGGCTGCAAGCTTTTCCTTGAGCTGCTGGCCAACTTCCAAGTTAGGCTCTTTTGAAATCCATTCGAAAGCGACTTCCAAACTTTTCGCGACATCAGTATACAGAGCTAGTGGTCGATCACATAAGAAAACTTGCTCCAAGAGCGAAAGGAAGAATTCTAGGATCCCTTCTTTGCGCTCCGCCAAGGCGGTAGAGGTGGCAAAGTCGACGCGTGCCCAATCAATCATTTCAGCCTTGACCAATGCAATAATCAGTGGGACGTGGAGAAGCGCTTCTCCAACTTGCTGTCCAATGATCATGGAAACACGAACAGCACAACGACCACCAATCCTGATAATGTTCTCGAGTACGTGTACTAAGCACTCAATCACCAAAGTGTTTTCACTTCCACTAAACACTATTCCACAGATTTGCTCTGCAATCCAGATGTCATAAGGTTCTTGTCCTTGCTGGCTTCTGATTATTAAACCGTATAAGGCATCCAGGATCTCGATGACGGGATGTGGTCGAGGGAGATCCATATAGTGCTGCTCAGGAATATCGGCAGTGGTTTGTTGCAAGTCAGCCAATAGCCTTTGCACCTTTTCCGGCAACCCTTGGGGGTTCATGGCCATGTTTGGCATTCTTCCGTTGGACAGAGCAGCTGAAGGCTGGCTGTAAGGGGCTTGCTGGTTGTTGACAAGTGGAATTGTAGGAGTCTCAGCGGGCGCTGGAAGGTTTGGAACCGTTGGAAATTGATCCCGCAGAAGATCATTGGTGATTGACGTTGTTGCATCTGAAGCTGTAGCAACGTGGGTCGTACCGGCCAAGGATCCAGCTACCGAGCCTCTATCTGCTAGAGGAAGTAGTCTAGGCTGACGAGCAAACTCATCGTAAATAGCCATTTGCTCCTGGTTAAGGCCAGACATTGACGGCTGCAACTTATACGGGCTTGGAATGGTCCAGGCCCAACGACTGAGTTGGGGATCGATGTATGGATCATCTGGTCGTCTGATGTGGTGAAGGCGCCGGGCTTCTAGTTCTGGCTCTAGTATCTCTTCGATTTCAGGAACAGCGCGTTCCTCGGCCTTCTTTTCGACCTGGCTACAGGCTAGATCGAGGTTGGAATTTACACACATGATTATGGTACCTTCAGGTAACTGATGCTCGACTGATAATGTTCTAATGTAATTTGTCATGCTTGCACGCAACGGCTCTTTAGAAGTGACCAGAGCGAGGCTACCAGCAGTCTTCTTGACCATGTTGATAGCTGCAGAGCGTACACGAGCTTCGTTGGGCTCGGTTGCAAAGTCCTTGTGTATCATCTGAGCGGTCGAAATGGCAGCAATAGTGACAGAACGCTCTACAACCGGTGAAATAATCTCATGAACTGCTCGGGTGATTGCAGTTTTGAGAATATCATGCAATTGGCGGGTGTTCACCATGTCGTTGCTAGGGGGGTAAGTAAGAAGAGGTCCGAGATCAGGCATGGTAGAAAGAATTTCTTGCGGGGAGAATCGACCACTGGCAATCCCACCTCCTAAACCATTCACAGAAAGGTTCTCGAATCTATCCAGGCCATCGGGTACTGCCATTGGCTCGGTGGCCTCCTCAATGGGTGGGATGCGGCTCTGGAATTCGGTAGACGGCTTGATACTCTTATGATCCAGACTCAAACCTTTACAGAGCACTTCGATTTCAAACTTGAGGTTCAGCTTAAGCTCCGCGTTGTGGTATAATTCGATCAAAAGATGAATGATATCCATGAGCCACGGATTTGGTGGTTTGAAGACAACCGAGTTTCTGCCTTCGAAGAGAACTTTGCAAACGAATGGGATGACAACAATGAGTCTTTGCGTGTCACAAGCCTCGAGTAATAGTTGCTTGAAAGCAATGTTCCTGTGCTTGACGGGCTTATCATTAGCAAGTGTCATAGAGCCCAACCAACCACCGAGATTCTTCAAATGCGTGCGGTCGATTGAAGACTTCAAAGTGCTTTCAGCATTAAGCAGCTTGGAAACACTGATAAAAGTCTCTCTTAATAGCTGGTTCCATAGGATCTTGTCTTCGAAAAGTTTGACTAGCTTAAGATATAGGACGTGATAGTTGGGCTGAACCTTAGCTCGTTCCTCCACTAAATGACCAGCGAACCATCTTTGATTTGTCTCATCAAGGGCGCTCTTTAATTCGATGAATTTCGATTGCACGTTGACCTCGGTGATGTTGTTCAACAAAAACTGCACTTTGCCTTGTGCTTCAGGGTCGGGGTCTTTGAAGTCTGCATTTGGAGGGAGAGGGTCCACGTTGATAGAGTTGAATGGTGGTGCGGAAGGTTCAGCTGAGAGCAGTACGTCGATATTGCCATTTGTAATTCCACCCCCACCCCCATTCATTAAGTCGTTGTGCCCGTTGCGCAACATATCTTCTT